CTGCGCAGAGCTCTGATGCGTTATCTAAACCTCTCGCTGATACTTGTATTGCGTTCCATAAGCTCGGCGGTGAAGAGACGATTTCCCACTCTCGATCACGTCGTTGATTCCGGTAAATCACAGTACTGGGACCACTATCGTCGTCCTAGTGGCAATTAAAAATTAACGAGCTTGTTGCAGGCTTCATGACCACGCTGGAGCTCCAATTGTACCAGTCGGTGCCAAGTGTCGAGTTTAACACCTATTGGATACCCTGCACATGGTTCATTAATCTCCTCAAGGAGGCACGCAAGACTCATCGAATATCCGATGCGCAAGGTTTAAAGCTAATAATGGAGGTGTGGGCGAACTCCATGTTTTCTTTCTTTGATCTCCTCGTTTGTTGTTTAAAATTTGATAAAAAATTTTCTTTATTATATATCAAAATGAAAGAAATTCTCTTTCTAATTATGGACTAAATGAAATTAATTATTTTATATAAATAATTAATATAATATTCTTAACGATTAATGCTTGACACGAAATAAATTAAAATCATTAAAATTTCATGTTTTAGCATCTATTTTCAATTTGCAACAAAAATAAGGAATAATTATTTAAATTATTTTATTCTTTTAAAGACAAAGTTGTATTAAGCATATTATATATCTTCTATTTTCTGAGTTCGTTCCTGTTTATCATGTTAGTTCATAAAGCGCAACATCATGCATGATACGATATGATTGTATTCTAGTAACGGTGGTAACCAGAAAATCAATCGTTTGATTAGAGAAACAATTAAATTTTATGGGTAGCTACACCGTGACGGTAGCGAGTCGGTATATGACCGATTCAAAATACATCGTAAGCCATATCGCAGTCTATCAACTACGTTTTTATTTTCCGCGATTAGGCACGTGTCTCAAACACATTATGTTCTCGCACAAATATCTTAATTGGAATTGCTGGAGATAATATTCCCTTTCTTCACGCATCTCATGCGTGAAAACAAAGGAATAAATAAAAATTAATTTTGATGTGTAAAAAACGCAAAACGATAAATTAATCAGTAAATATAATATCTAAGCAAATTAAAAAAAAAAGCAAATATATATTCTTCACCTCAGCATTCACACTTTGAATCGTAATTGATTAAATTTTTTCTAGAAACGTGATCGATTAATAAAATTAATTAATCGATATAAAATCTTTTTCTTGCTCTGTAAAGTCGATCTGATTTGTAGGAATTCAATGAGTTTCGGACCAAGTGCGGTCTCTTGTGGAGCTACGACTGGGTGTCGATTCCTTTGGTGTACACTCAAGTGGTGACACTCGCCACTTACAGTTTCTTCGCAGTCGCCGTAATCGGCCGACAATACATCGAGGGTGTCGAGAAACAATTCCAACTGAAAATAGATAAATACGTGCCCATTTTCACGATTCTGCAGTTCTTCTTCTTTATGGGATTGTTGAAGGTAGCTGAACAGCTGATAAATCCTTTCGGCGACGATGATGAGGATTTCGAGCTGAACTGGCTGATTGATCGTCATACCAAGGTAGGAGCACTCTTTCTTGTCTATAAAAATTAAGAAAAATTGTAAAACATCGCATATACTTAAGGTATAATTTTATGCTGACACTTGACGCATATTTTTAACGTTAAAATAGGCCACATAAAAATTAGTGAATATCAAGCATCAATTTTGAGAGATCTGTTTTATATATAAATGAACATCGAGAGTTGGCATAAAATTATACTTCCATTCCCTCTTTATGCTCATATATTAGGTGTCGTACCTTGGAGTAGACACGTTGATGAATCGCTGTCCACCGCTTGTCAAGGATATTTACTATGATTCTGAAGATGTGAGCCTGCCATATACGGAAGCGGCTGCGGCGTACAAGAAGAAGACTTATCGCGGTAGTGTGGATAACATGATGTTAGTATCTTTCTATTATACATACATAGTTTATTGTAATATTCGTAACAATCGATAATATTTTTCGCAATTAGTCCTTTGCAGTATTTTAAGATGTTAGTAGCATTATTATCAAATCGATAATCAATTTAATTATGATATTATTATTTTCGTTTTACAGTTTGTCATTGCATTTCAAATCTGACAATAAGCGGCACACGGTTTATGTAACTGAAAAATGTATTTAGATTTACGTATAAAAATATTATTAGATATCTCACATCTACCTCACATCAGTCATATTGATCCTTTCTTTATTTATTTCGTTTTATTTATATAACGATCTAGATTAACTTATTATTGTTAGTAATACTTATTTTGAACCAGAACAGATTAAAAATTTATATGTAATTTGTATAAACCGATTTTAATTACAAAATATTATTCGTGAAGATCTGGCGAGTTCTATATCTTTTGGGATACAGTTTCGTAATATAAAATTTGTTTTAAATATTGAAATCTTGAACATTGTATTCTATAACAAACGCTATCGGTTTTCCTCGATCTTTTCAGGGTACCCGAAGAGAAACAGATGATGTTCCTGCCCGGAATTTTGGAAGAAGAGGAGGAAAGTTCGACAATTTTGACACCTCGTACTTCCACTTTCAGTTTAACGAATCCGAATGATAATCCAATGAACGAAATGCGGTAAGATTATAATTGGGGTGCATTGATGTATTCTAATTCTCATGAATTTAGATTAATATTAATTGTTACAATTTAAATTAATATTGATCGTTAATTGAGGAGCAGACTTTCAAAATGCGTTTTGTCCAAAATTTTATTTTTTTTTAATTAGAAATGTTCAGTATTGAAAGATTCATATTATAAGCTACTCTGAGATGTTCAGAAAACATTTTTTCATTGTTGATTTATATGCTGAAAAAACATAGACATTTCTAAGTACATAATGTCTTTTTAATTAAAGACAAAATGCATTTGTTCAACATTTTTAACAATTGGTTAACAATTTTGTTTAATATTTTACGTCTTACTAATTGTGGCCTACATTGTTATTTTCTGTAAAGTGCGTAATTTTGTGTACGGAATTTCTTTCTTTTTCGTATTCTGAAAATTACAAATTTTGGAAAATATTCATTTTGAAAGTCTGCTTCTCAATTGATTATTACATGATGTAATTTTTAAATGTAATATCTTACTTTAAACTTACTTACTACAAAAAAGTAATGAATTGTTATTGTCCAAGTAACGGTAACGATAATGCGTTACTTTTTAAAATTAGTAACGAGTTACTTTTTATAAACAATAGCGATAACAATATATTATTTTTATGAAGTAACATTTCCAATTTATTTCTAACAGTCTAATACATTTTTTTAATATAAGGAAGCTATATGCTTTTAATGTAAGGAGGTACTTATATATATGTAAGATATTTCTCAAAGTTTCTCTTCTTTATCTCGTTTTACTTAAGATGAACAAGCTTCGAAGAATTCCATTAAGTTAGATTCGTTTGTTTCAGCCAGATCAGCGGGTCCCCTTCAACATCTGCGAAGATGGCTCGCAATTGTTCCGAAACGATTATGCAACTGGATGGTCAAGAGCAACTACCGGAAACGGAGCAGCGACGGATAATAGTCGAGGCCGTCCGGAAGTTCTCTTCGTTAACAAAGAGCTCGGCATCTCGCGCCGTAAAACCCTTCTTTCCGGTTCTAACGAAAACTCCTAAACCAATGTTGCGTCCTTGGCCGAGCGTTACGAATATCCAACGCCCTATTCAGATATCGTCGATTCCGACGCCAATTCCCACGTCGACTGTCGTTGAGATCGAAGATCCCTGGGCGAAGGATTCATTCAAGAGTCTGCATCGTCGACCTTCTATGGATTCCGAGGGACGACCCAGCGTTTCATCGCAGAGCGAAAAGAATCAGGAAGGTGTCATAAACTCGGCATTTGCGGAAGAGAGAGTGAATAACACATCGGATATTTGTGACTGTGATGACGCTGAGGAAGATGATGATAATTCGTGCGGATCTTCACACCGATCTCGATGCACACGGATCTCCTGTCAGCAATCGTTTACTTCAGAGACGATCGATATGTCTGTGATTAGTAACGAACCAATTGGTCTTTCGAGCATCAAGAGTTCTTCGAAGTACTTGATAACGAGACGAGACCGGTCGATCAGCGATTCCAGGAAGAAGAAGAGTATCCTCCGATCGAGGCTGTCTGGCAAACTATCGAATCGCAGAAGAACCACCGATAGTATACCCACGGTAAGCACAATCTTGAGTCAGACCTGGAGCTCGCCGAACCTGAGTAACTTGGAGGAGCAGACAAAGACTGCACAAAATATCAAAATTGATTCTTCTTCTTGTAAGCAGGAGGAAAACCAGGAAGATTCTAAATTATAAATAATATTTCGGAGACGATATTTTTTTTATATTTAAACAGAGATATGAAACTTATGATAATCTTGAAGAAACTTTGCTAGCAAGATTCTTTCAGAAAAATTACGTTTTTGCTAAACTATTTTCAATTATTGTATACTTGTTCAACAAATTATTTGAAGTGATAGTAATAGATATATAGTTATATTTTTTGATGACCAGCATAAAAATGTTCTGCCTATTGATTTTATTTAATTATAATTGTAAGCAAGTATCAGCGCTTATTCGTGAGCGTCATATTTATGTAAATATTGTAAATATTATAGTAAATATTATATTACATGTATTGTTATAGAAATAAAACAATTGTGTTATTATATATTATTTTTTGAATAATTTATTTATGAATTTATTTAAGATGTAGATATGACAACGTTTACACGGCTTAATTTACGCCGAAGTTATAACGTCGATGTAAAATTTGTGAAATTAAAATTTCAATTTTTTAATTTACATTTTTGTTTTATGAGTTTAAGATTTAAATTTAGAAATTTTGGAATTTTAAAAATTTATTTTAATGTACATATTTTTTAAAATTTTTTAATGTTTCGTCGATATATTACCATATTTTGACAAAAACTAGCAGCAGTAGCGATACGTAATGTGAAACGTGCAGTAGATGGTGCTATTTAAAGTCACAATTTTTGGCGGACTTGTGTACTTGTGTTGATTATGTTATCCATCCTCGACATCGGAGTGATCGGAGTGTTCGGTTCAGAGTATTTTACTTTAGAGCAATCGGTTATTAAAGTAGTTTTCTCAGATTGATATCAACGTTTTTGTAATTTGTGTCTGCAGCATGTGAAGTTTTTTAATTTGCAACGGTATGAATAAAGAACTCATAATTTGATAACGTACGATAAAATATTGCGAGAGTTTATGAAATCCACAAAAAGCGGCGTCTACAATGAAATTTAAAGGCGTAAATTTAAGCTTTAAATTCTAAACCGTAAGAAATTGATCAATTAGAATTGAATGTGAGGATGATACTATGATTTATCAATTTTTTACGGTTTAATGCTTAAAACTTAAGTTTTATACCTTAAAATCTCATTGTAGACGCCGCTTAACAATCATCTAATACGGAGTTTAGTTATCACATAACCTATAATCAGACATACCTCGCCGGTTTTTCATCAACGGATCTACACAAAAATGAATCTAATATGTGTGATATGTAGCGAGTTATTGGTACCATCCGACGATATTTTCCATACACCATGTGGACATATATTTCACTATGCGTGCTTGTTGCAATGGCTTGAAAGGTAATTTGGATATCTGCTCAAAGATTTTTGAGATTCTCTTCTTTCTCTTACATTAGGCCTCTGGCCTAATTGGCCTAAAATAATATTACATCTCTCTCATGTACTTGTGGTGCGCACACTAATTATTCAATTGCTACAAGCATATGAGATCTATAATTTTTTAATGCCGGTTCCGAATGATGGATTTTTCGGAAGGTGTTTCTATAGACAAGGATACTCTCGGGAGATTGCCGGCCTTTTCCGAGAGAAGCTACGAGTATAAATATTTTGGTTCCTACCAGGATCGAACCCGAGACTTCTGTCATAATAGACCAGTGTGCTATCTGCCATGTCACGTTTGCACATGTTTTCTCTTCTAATTCTTTTTTGGCCCATTATTCAAAAAAGTTTCATGAACTTTCATATCATTCCTGAAAGTTTTTGTTATTGTTTACACTTTTGGAAGCATTTAGTTTTATCTGTGAAATTGTTTCAGATCAAAGACTTGTCCACAATGTCGAGTAATAACCACTACTCGTACAATACATAGGATATATTTCAACTTTTCAAATAATGACAACATTGCAGAAGATGCTGCATCTCTGCAGAATAAAATTGACAACTTGAATTTCCAGCTAAAACTGAAAGACAAAAATCTTAGTAATCTTACAGAAGACAATGACAAATTAAAGAATCAAACAGCTGGCTTAAGACACAAAATTTATGAAGTTGAAAGTGAAATAGTTAATAAGAATTCTGCAATTCATGCATTTAAAGATCAGATTAAATTTTATAAACAACAATCTTCAAATGCGGAGAATGATAGGAAAGAGAATGAAGAGTTGAAAAAAAAACTCAAATTCTTGAAAAGGTATGTTTATTATAGTATTTATTTTAGAGATATACATGCAATTTTCAAGTTTTTGTTTAACCTTGTAATTAAATGTTGATTTTGTAGCGTACAAAATTTAATAGATGAATATTCTACATCTAATGTGGAGGATATAACAATGCAAACAGATGATGTTTCCAAACTTAGGATATACATAGGAATATTAAAAAAGTATTCTATATTTACATGTTTTGTATATTTGATTGATTTACATACAGTATATCTATGAAGATATAATACTATGTACTTTATATTGAATTTTCAGGGAACTTGACAGCATGCGTGAGAAGAGCAAAGAGTTGAGGAACAAATGTAAGATGGAACAACAAATATTCATGCAACTCTCCAGAAAAAATAAATTTTTGGTACAGAAATGTGCTAAACAAAAGTATATAAATATTCTTGATATATTAAAGTATTGTTTTTTTTTAGAATCATTTTCTTTAGAGATTATATTATCATATATATTTTTAGTGAATTGAAACAACATTCTACAGAATTAGAAGAACAATTAAAACGCTGTGAAACCGAAAAGATATCTTTACAAACTCAGCTTTTTAACATGCAAATAGATGCACAAAAATGCATATGTAATAAAATATCCGTGCAGCAAGAGAGCTATGAGCAAGAAAACTTAAAAGAGCATAAGGAATCTTATACCGTAAAATCTAAAACAATGAATGAATATATGCCAAAAATGGAATACATTTCAAAACTCAAAAAGAGTAGTAGCATAAATTTAGTATGTAAACAATTTGTTTGTTTAACTATACTCATTAATTTTACTAAATATTATACTTATCATTAATTACTAAATTTATTTTGAATATATTTATGCTAGGATAATTTATCTTCTAGGATGATAGTACCGAGAATATCCCATCAAATAAATTGCAGGATTTCTTTTCGATAAGGGACCATGGTATAAAGAGACACAAATTTAATAACAATTTGAAAATACCTTCGACACTTGTGAAAAAATCAAGAATTGACTCACTAAATCAAGTAAACTGCTTTGTATTTATATTTAATATAATGTTATATCTGTATTTGTTACATTTTTATTTATTTTAGAAGACTGCCAGTGGCAGTGGCATGAGTTTTGATGGCTTTGGAGGACATGCCAAGTATGATAAATTTCCTAATCCTATTGTTAACTCGCATATAAAAAAAAACAGAGAGGATCCAACGATGAGCAAATCAAAATACCTTGATACGGGTGACAATCAGAAAATTAGTGATTTACTGATATTTTGTACTGATTTATAGTGTCTAATATGGTGCCTAAATTAATATGTAACATGTAATAGAAATTATAATGAGACGTAAGACTCAAGACGTGAAAGGATTGGAAATGTAATTCCAATCCAGTCTAGAATTGCGTATTTTTTTATTTTGGAATATTAAAAAAGAGATCCAGATTAGATGGTGCATTTTACACAAATATGATTGTACCTATTTTTATAAGATTTGTAACATTTTTATATAAAATTTTATTTCGTAACGAATTCTTTGTAAGATTATTAAAGTAATTATTTTTAATGCTATACAGGTATGTATTAATTATTTTATAGATAAATATATATTCGATTATTGAATTACTTGTTCTTTCGTAATTGATATAATTAAAAATATATTTTTGAAACATATAAAGATATATTTTATAATTAAAAATATATTCAAAAATTTTCTGGTCGAGTATTTTCTACATAAAAATGTGTGTGTGTGTGTGTGTGTGTTGTGTGTTGTGTGTGTATACATGTTATACAGAATGTGTCCTAAATACGCTAAAAAGTTTTAGAATGATTCTATCTCTCACACACACACACACACACACACACACACACACATTCACGCACGCATGCACGCACACACAAATTCAAGACGAAAATTTTATATGACCATACGTCCGGAACAGTTAGTTTTAAAAATAGATGGTGTCACAGTTAAAAAAAATTGATTTTTCCCAAAAATTTTGAAAACAATTCAGACTATTTTGATGAAACTTTGTAAGTCTTTTTAATATTTTTGATAGAATGAGCCATTTTCGAGAGCATTCTACTAATCAAATAAAACTTTTGCAATCTATAAATTAACTAACTTTTTTTCTTCTGATTTATTTTATTTATCATAAAAAAATTTCAAACAAAAAATCTGTGGCGTAATTTTTTTCAATTTTTTTCGTAAAAAAGGCGTATCCTAATTGAATCTGTCCCTGATTGAATAAATAAATACATAATCTCAAAAAATAAGACGTAATGTTCTTCAAACCATACAAAGTTTCATCGAAATAACTAAAAATCGAATGATTTTTAAAATTTTTGAAAAAGTTTTTTTTCAACTTGACATACATGCATTTTTGAAACTAAGCCGTTTCGAACATATGGTTATACAAACTTTTCAGCTCGAATTTATGTGAGAAATCACTCCTTAAAATCTTTAAATGTACTTAGGACACACCCTGTACATACACATAAACCACTTTTTGTAGCAAATAAAATTAAATATTTATCATGTAATAAAATGAGCAGTAATCGCTTACAAATGTTAATTTTATTAAATGTTAAAACAATTTATATTGAAAATTTCAGCAATTAAAAGATTTAAAAAGTAGAAATAATGAATAAGATTAATAAAATATGACATTATATAGTAGAGTGACAGAATTTAAAATTTTAACGTAATGATACAAATCAATTTAAAATGTGATATATAAATTAATCATGATGTACAATACAATGTATATAGCAGCGATTTACTACGCTTCAATGTATTTATGTAATGTCTTGATATAAATTTAACATTTAATGCAAGAATTCTTCAAGTGTCACTGTTACCAGCGTGTAAGCGTCTCCTTCTCATATACCTTTGTGTACACACTGATCACACACAAGATATGGAGACTTACAGTTTAAATGCTGATTTTGAATGGCAATTTTTGGTAGGGAGAGTTAAGTATATTATTTAAGGCTAAGTACTATTTGATGATTTACTATTGCTTTCCTAGAGGAGTTACGAGTGTACGAAAATTTTCGATTATGTCAGAAATCGAATTCGGGATCTCTATTATAGCAGTGCGTTATTTGCTACATGCTCATGCAAGAATTAATAAATTATAATTTGATTGTAACATAATACAATTTCTAAAATAAAATTTATTTAATAAAAACTAAAAATAATCATAAAATATATAAATGCAAAGAAGTTTTTAATAGCTTCTATAATTAAAAATTTCTTTATATAAAAAAATATTAAAATTAAAAAGTTAAAAAATTAGTTTCAGAGAATTCATACAGAGTTTTGTTAAATTAATTAATTTTAAATTGAAACGTATGTGCGAAATCTGGCATTTTGGAGAGTAGCTGTATAAATTCTTGTGGCGCAATGTTACCTGCGTCAGAGAGATCTATTTCTTGTAATATCTGAAAAAATAAAGTTATTAAAACACAATCATGAATTATTATATGATATCCATTGCGATTTTGCAAAAGATAGGTGAGTTAAAAGAAATTAATAGAAAAGAAGAAAGTTGTACTTTATAGATTAAATCCCTTATTTGCACTACTTTAAAGAAAGGTTAAATAAATAAAAATGCAGAAGGTATGTACATTTCAACAATAGAATGTAAAAATAATTCTTTTTTTTTTTTGTTAAAAAGCATTGGAGAAAGAGAGAAAGAGTTTGCAGAGTTTTAGAAGCGATTCCCAGCTTTGAAGATAGCGCGAGTGCAATTTTACAGAATTAATTTCTCCTCGCGCGCACAGAAGGCAGTTCCTTTCAATTCATCTACTTTCTGCCGCGGAATCGGTAACGGCTATCGGAAATTTGTTGCGATAGAAAGCGGCCTTTCGGCTTTTGGCAAAAGGATTAATCGCTTCCATCCGCGCTACGTCCTCCGCTTGTTGCCGATCGATTCGATTCTGTCCGCGCTCATCCGTGCCCGCCAATCTCCGCACCATTTCGATCAGATCGTCAAGAGAGACTTGATTGTCGCCGTCGAAATCTGGAAATGAAGATGATCAGCACTGGTCGCTGTTTGCGTTCACGCATTTCAAACGAAGGAGTCGCGAGTACGCGCGTGTACTTGTATAACTGCCGGTGATTAAAATTGACAAGAGATCGGTACAAAGCGGAAAGAATTATTTTGCGCGATCTGTACTACAGAAAAAAGAATATTTATCGATATTGCTTGAGAATTTGAGCTTCTAAAGATAAGTTCAAAATAATTTTTGACAATTTATTAATTAAACTAAATAATAATTTGACCTATTTTAATTAGATTTGTATTACTTATTAATTAATTTATTCATTTTTTATTATTATTTATGTTTAATAAAATAAAAAATATATTGCTTCGAATTTTTATAATAAAAAATAAAAAGCTTTTACAAAGTTTTTTTCACAATGCCATAAATATGCAATTAATATTATATTATAGGGTAGGATTTATTTCCCGTCAAATCGTGCATCACGTTATGTAATGTCAAAATAAGCGACATTTATTATAAACCAAGGTGATAAATTTGAAATTTAAATGATGGAAAGTAGAGCACATCTCTCGGATATGATTGAAGATCGTGCAAAATGACACTTTCCATACTGCATAAGCATAACATGATCCAATTTATCTGAATGGAGTCGCAGTTGCATCGGCAGATTGCTGCGAGGGCGCGTTTCCATTTCTACGGTAATTGACGTGGCTCCGTGAAATTAAACGATTCCGATTAACGAAATTGACTGCAAGCCACCGTTTACTATTATACGAATGCTCGACGATGGTCTGCAAACTTGTATACCTTACAAATTATCATAATTATAATATACTACCTTGGAGCACCTAGACAAATTATTATATTATGTCAAACTAGTCGGTTACAATAAAACTAGAGATGCGTAAAATAAATTGGATTTAAGAACTTTTTAAACTGCCACGCTTTGTCCAAGGCATTCCGCATACGCACGGTAAAACTTTTATAACGTCTGTGAAAGTTGCCATCGAGACATTTTTCCCTCTACCAGCAAACAATGAAGTTTTGTAATTGTATTTTTAATGACTGAAGAATTGTTCACGAGTGTGATTAATGAGCGTGTAGGATTGGCGGATGGCAAATATTTGCCGTGACGAAAGTTAGAATTTTGCGCGCACAAAAAGCTGCAAATATAGATTCAATTGTATTTGTGAGTTTACCGAAAATTTCAAAAGCCCATGCAGCCCGAACGCTCCGAGGTCGAGAGTATCTTCGAAGCTTAAATGTCCATCCTGCTTCGACGAGAACACGCGGTATATCACGTCACAGAAAGGATTGCACTGAAAATATATCGTACGTTCTATATTTTATGATCTTTTGTTTTTCTTGAAGACTAAATAAATTGCATATGGAAATAAAAATATTTGAGGCTCCTGTTCTCTCACTCGCCACTACTATCTCAGAAGTATTGTGAAGTAGCAGAAGCGAGAAAGAATAAAAATTCTTACAAATTATAATTGAATAGAAATTCAATAAAAATTTTCAATAAAACATTTGCATTCGATAGAATATAGATTTATGAAATATATTGAAAACTATCTTTTTGTTTTGAGATAAATTAAATCATATTTTTATTTATTATTAAATTGACAGTTGTTATAGCTGTAAACACATAATAACTCATTTCACTTTTTGGTTATGCATAATTAATTTCTAAATATATAATTATTTATTAATTAGTAAAACGAAAGAAAAGTTTTTGATATATTCGACAAGTCGTTTTTATCAAATGTAAGTGTTGTTTCATTGAAACATATTTCATATGTATTTTCTTGTTTCTGATGTCACAATTTGAGATAGTAATGAGTGAACGGAAGTGGACTTCTTTTTTCGAGTCATTAAAGAATTTATAATTTATATTGTTTCTCTCTGTTTCACTCTCTTGCTTGTTAAATACCATCATGGAATTGTTATGTATTACATATCATAATATATGTATAGGTTTTTGAAATAGCTTTAAAATAAATATATTTTAATTAAATCTTAATAATTAATGGTATATATAAGAACAAGAACTCTTGAGATACTCCATATAATATTTGAAAAACACAATATGTTTCGTTCCTCGTATCGCAGTTAATCATCATCTCGTGTAAATAACGAAATTTCTAGCTTGCAGGAAAAAAATGGTAGCAGCTTACCATCGCTTAAGAAGGATTTATTGCTGCGCAATATACGCGATGTTTAGAGCTAACGAAAACGTTGTGTACCGTGATAATCCAATGCTCTTTGCTACCGGAACTTTCAACACCGTTCTTTGAAAATGCGATTATAATTCAATTGTAAAATAATTCTCGAAAAAATAAAAAGTATATTTTACACATCGAAATGTCAAACAATAAAATTCAGAGCTTACGTGAATCTGCGGAAGAATTTTGTTGATTTGCTCCACAGAAAAACGATAATGAAGATTTTGTTTAAGGATACCTGGTTCCAAATCATCGAGACGTTTATAAATTCTGACAATGATAAATTAGACAATTAAATATAAGTATATTAAAATACATTAATTGAGAATTATATTTATCCGGACATAAATAAAATACAGAAGATAGAGATTATGAAAACAATACATATTCATAAAAATAAAAAATTTGCAAAAGGACTATGAGAATCGACTTTTGAATCACTTTTGAATATTTTCCAAATTGCTCGTTAATGTATGTCATAATATATACACAAGAAAATGCATAAACTTACTGAATTATTTAAAAAACTAGATACGAATCTGAAAATAATTTTGATGGACTGCCAAAATAATTATTTATATAAGACGTGCAATCTGCTTGTTAGTATGTTAAAACTTTTTGCGAAATTGCTCATCATGCTTAAATTACTACATAATTACCTTGATGATCCAATAAAATTATTTATATTGTATAATATATGAATCATATGTATACGCACTGACGAATTTCATTCTTGTTTAAATATGTCAGCTCGACGTATTCGTTGAGGGCTTCTTCCGAAATAACATTTTCTTTAGAACCCGTATTACCCATGGACACAATTTTGATTTAATACATTGAAATGGGACCATTCGACCAACCTAACTGTTATCGCATTAACGATAACGCACGTTATCATTTCAATATGTGACTACGAAAAAGAGCTGATATCAGTACTATCAATTTTATGCGGGAGCACTTAACTGCTTAACGACGATAGCATTTACAGTTATATTGGAGCATCAATTTAATAACGATCGTGGTTACAATCCGGATATTTATATTAATAAAATTTTACAGTAGTCGGATAAACGCCATATTAATATCGTGGAATTGAAAAGTAAATTCAATGAAATAATTTATGTTATTTTATATGTCTCACCTAGTCTATATCTTCCTCAGTTTTAATTTGTTCAAAGAGATATTCTCTTTGATAACATTTTTACCTCGGAAGGTTTACAGATTTGTCGAGGAATATTTCAATCTGTATAAAAAAAAGTACGCTTACTTATTTGTGAGCTTCGCGACTTACGTGAGCGGAGTGTATTAATCATTTCTGCTCGTCGACCGCTGAAAATAATAATCTACGGACGATCAATTTCGCGACAGCGTTTTAATTAGTTGTTTAACTAGCTGCCTGGGTGCTCTCGGCGGGTTCATTACCACTCGAGACAAATGCATATTTACGACGCGCGTAAATAAGCGCGTGCGGGGCAGAGATTTATATACGCTCAAGGTATGTCCGCATTCTCTCTCTCTCTCTCTCTCTCTTTCATGGCTTAGAAATTAAGCGGTGCGCGCAAACGTTTAAACCGATTACACGTGGAACGCACGGAATTCCGCGTGCGGGCTTTAATTAGATCATCAGCGTCGGCGGCGAGGCGATCGTTGATTGGAAAACGCACAGAAATCGCGCGATTTGCGCGCTCGTCGAGCGCGAGCGGAGGCATCCGTTACTGAGCGCGTTTCTCAACGCGAAACCGATTTCTCCGCGATCCGTGAAATTGCGTTCACTATCAGAGCTTGATTAATACCGCGGGTGAGTACCGAAAACACGCGGGTTAACCGAGTCGCGTAACCGTAGACATTCAACTTGTGATTTCGAGTGGTCCGTAGTTACGCTCACGTCTTAATTGATAAAGAGATATGCCAGGTACCTTGTTCACGTTCTTAGTCGCTTATGCAATATCGAGGACGGATATTGCTTTCAATTAAAGAATAGACTTAAAAATATATAAATGGATGTACTTTAAAAAATATGAGCCTGGATTTAATACCATGTCAATATTTTCATAGTGTTGATGTTGATATAAATACCAAGAATGAAGATGAATTTAATAGATAGGATTTAACACCCTGATTTAAACAATTTAATATAGTGTTAAATTTACATCATATGTTATATATTAACACCAGCAAGAAAAATTATATTTAACATTCATAGTGTTAAATATATATATTTTTTAGAGTGTAAATATCATGCAGAAAGCACGATATTTCTTTAATTCTTTCTTTGCTACATAATGGATGCTTTCTAGCAAGAGACACAGATGACATAGATTATTATTCTTGTTATTTGCCAAACAAATGATAAAATGATTATTGATTATATTATGAATGCTTTCTATTTGGTGACACAATTCGACACAAGTATCATTCTATCTTTGGTACTCAAAGGAATGCAAAGAGAGGTATATAGAATATTTATGTCGACTTGTATCATTAAATAAAAAATATTCCTTATGGAAAGTTTCTCGAAGTGTTTTCGAAGATTAGCCGCGTGTCGTTGATCGCGATAAAACAAGCATCACAGTGTACATCGTTAGAGACTAAACATCAAATTGTCGATTATCCGTGGACCCGCGACAATGATATTCGCGGCACGATTTCCGGCGTACAGAAACAGCGACACGCTGATTGCGATATTGCGTCAAGTGCGGGCCGGATATCGGGAGAGGGAAGTGATTGCCTGGTCTCGCTGTAAAACAATTAGCCCGCTCGTCCGATACTCGAATAGTCTCGAATAAGCACGGTCTGCACGAATGAGCCGACGATCTCTGCCTCCACGGTAAGCATAATGAGATATATCCGTCGTGTTTGTATCCGCCGCGCAAAGTCAATCGTGCGGACAATCGGCGGCATTTATACCGGTACACCTCTTCAAAAAAAAAAACCTATACGGAGGCATTGCATTAATTCTATATCTAGATAAACTAAAGTGTAATTATTGTCTTTTGATATCTTCTGTTAGCTTCATGCAATGTCATCTAAGAGACGATCATCTAAAAAATTTAATTCTATTTGAACAAGTGTAAGTACACATTCAATATATGATTTATTAAAATATTGACAGATTTAAAACAAATGTACTGGGAATATCAGTAATAAAAGAAGATTATAAATCTTCTTATGTAGCAAGTTGATGTCATTTTGACAACAAAATGTTAAAGACGTCATTTTGAGATTAAAATAATGACAAATAATGATGAATCATTGTTTTATTTAAATTTTATCAAAGCGTTCATATATAATAGACAAATAATTAAATTAAAGTATAAATTAAAATTAATGTTATAAAAATATTTAAAGTCATACAAAAGAAACGTATTGAATAAAATTGTTAAATAAGAACAATCAGTATCCTTTTTCACAAATATAATAGTAAAGATGGATAGTAGATCCATCTTTACAAGTGTTTTTAAAGCGATCTCATCATTTTGTTTTATCTAAATTGTCTTTATTTACAAATGACATGTAACAAAAATTAACATATCATTTTACGCTTATGACATAACGATCCAGTATGATTGCAACTCGGGCATTGCGTTACGTCGCGTTGCGTTACCTTCTAATGCATATTCGCTCTGTCATCGAAAACCTGCGGTTTTCATTTGGTACCGCCGCTTGACAAGCAAACTTTTCCGCAGTTAAAAGCAAAATGCACGTAGAAACGCGCGCCACGAAATCGTCTGATGGATATTCGAGACACATGACTCCTTAATACGTTTGTTTGTATCTTTTCCTTTTTTATGCAAAATTGTAATTTCTTTCATAAGATCCATCTTATAGGCTTCGTTTTTAGTTTATTGTATATTTACATTATACGGTCCTAATAAATCGTTTATTATTATAATTTCTTTATTATGGAATGTGGGAAGAAAATCGATATATTATAATTACGTAATCCAATTCGATTTCGATTACGACAACAAAATATTATTCGAATTATATGTTTTACGAATGGAATTTTGATTCTCAAATTTTAAACGGTTCCGCTTGTAAAGGAAAGATATTTTTCATGAATGTATGGGAAACAATCGAAATCGATTTTGACTAAATAAATTAAATTCACAAAAAATCGTAAAAGAATAGAGAGTTGAATTTTTCATTGTACAACAATTTAATAAAATTGAAACAGCGACTAGATACGCACGATAAAACAACAGTCTAATACATATATACATCGACACAACAAATCTCCGCCCATTTGGATAGTATCAGTTTCCACAACCTGGTATGTTCCAATCAGTCGCGTGCGTCCGGAGCAACATTATCAATCTGAACGTGAAACACGCGTAAATAAAGTCCGGCGAAAACGTCAGTGGGACAACCGACTGCGGAAGTGCAACAGCGTGTTGCAAAACTGCGTTTTACAAATTCGCGCCACTCTCGTGTCGACGGGCTCTCCCAGACCGGAGAACCGGAAGTGAGAGGGAGCGACGGTAAAGAGGCGCACCGGTAGTGGCATTATTGCGCAATTAACGAGGGGCAAAACGCGCTATAACGAGAGGTGGACTCGCGAAAACCGGCTAATAATTATAACACGACTTCGTGGAGCGGTTATTGTCCCAATTCGACGGTCAGAGGGGACGGGCAACAGGACACGTGATGGAAGAGGGGTTGGCCAGAGGAGGGGGAGGCATTGCGCTTTGTGGATAATGGCTGCGCTCGAGAGGTCATGTGAGCCTGACGTTCCAGCATGTCAACAGCAACTATGCATCATCGGATGTCTGCCGCACGTAAACGCCTGTCTCCTCTCACCCTTCGCGCGCGCCGTCCACCCCCTTCAGCGTCTCTCTCTCTCTCTCTCTCTCTCTCTCTCTCTCTCTCTGGGCCGTTTCTGCTCTGACTCGACGGCCCTTCCGTTCACCACCGATCCTTCCCCTCCACCGTCACGACTCGTGGTCAGATATACGGGCTCGTTCATTATAATAAGCAGTGACGGTCAAATGAACCCTCGTTAACCGTGAAATATCGATTCCGCTTCATCCGGGTGCAAAGATCGGAGTCACAGTGAATCACGATCGGCGATATTCATCATGATGCACCGATCTCCTCCTTCGCAGGAAGAGACTCGATTTTCCCGCGTTCTCACTTCGCTGATCGAGAGCGTCAATAATCCTTAGGACCATTTAATATCTTCTTCTCGGCGCGGCAATTTTACGTCGACGTGACCACCGGACCACGTAAATCCCGAGCGCAGCCTATACATCACGCGGGACTGGACACCCGGGTCGGGTGGCGAGCCGTAGATCGACCCTCGGGGTTGCACTTGACACTACATCGTCGTCGTAATAACAATTCATTTTCGGCAGCGGCATGATTTCCCCGGGAACGTGACCGCACTGCATACGTTGCTCAAGGGCGAGCGGTAGCGGTGGCGTAGAACAGACAGAATGGTCCAGGCAGTGGTGAGTGGGGTAGGGGGTATTAACGTGCGGTCGCTCGTGTACCGCGCTGCGAAATTACTTTAAATTATGGAGAACGACCGAGGGAGAAAGAGATTGGGAAGTGTGGCACGTTTCTCGCTGGCCGGCTGCATCCCCGGCAGGAAGAGCAATTTGAGCTTTTATACTTTACTTGTTCTCTCATTTTAGTTCTTCTTCTCTCTTTCGCCTTTACTGCCAGATACTTTATCTCGCTATACACTCGTGCTTCTCTGCTGTTTTCTTCTCTCCCTAAGGTTTCTCATTTCCGCGTTTGCCCTTTCATTTTCATCACTCTTACATTTTTGACTCGATGGTTTTCCCTTTGCCTCTTCACACCTGAGCTGT